AAAGCTGTACCAAACAGGCCCTTATAGATTACGGGTAAGATGACCATTTTGCAACTATTTAAATCTCACCATTTTGTCATAGCCTATGGTAATAGTCTTTGGTGATGATCTATGGAGCAGTTCTATAATTGGCCATATTCGTCAACGCAGTGGAATTTAGGAATAATATCATTCGTTACATTATAATAGGTGGGTCGGCTGATAATAATAATTGGGGGCCCCAGTGTCTAATGTCATGCGTATTTGTCAAGGAGAGTGAATGAGAAGATGGAGTACCAATCATTTATTTTTTATATTATCCAATTTAATATATTAAACATATTTTAAAGGTATTGTTGATAAGCTAGAATAGAAACCTATTATTATATGAACTGTTCCTTTTTTTGTGGGCTAAGAAAAAGAAAAAGAAATAAAAAAAGAAAAAGAAAAGAAAAGTTGGGTTGTTTGAGAAAGCTTTGGATTAAAGTTTAAGCAAATAAAAATTGATGAAATTCAAATGGCGAAAACGTTGATAAAAATTGTAGATCGCATGAAATTCGAAGATAAAGTTAATTGTTAATTTTGAATTACAATTTTTAGAAACTTTTCAAGCTTATCAAAAGAAGCACCTATTTACTTATAAATGAAGATACACATAAAAAAGTAATTTTGCATAAGTAACTATTATTGTAAACTTGGCCACAACATGTTCAACAATACACATAAAAATGTAATCTTACATAAGTAAATATTATTGTAAACTTGGCCACAACATGTTCAACAGAAACTACAGGACAAGCTGAACTATGCATACTTACACATAATCTCACTTGGAAATAAAAGTAGCCAATTTCTTAATCAAATCCTTTGCTTTCTTAGTATAAGGATTATTTACATGAAAATCATGATCTTCTCCATCAACTACCACCAGTTGTACGTCACCATTCCACCCACTTTTCTTCACAGTCTCAACGTAAAGAATCCCTCTAGGCGTAAATGCATCCTCTCCTGCTAAACAAACCAGCAGTCTTGAACACGCCAGCCCGGATAAGCTCGGGGCGTTCTCTGCAAATGGATTGATCATCGGATTGTCAATCCCACCAGTGGCTGATGGATAAACACACATCCAAGCTTTATATGCAAAACCAATCAAATCTTCTTTTGATTGCGACCCAACTGGTTTTGATCCCCAGAAATAAGGACAAGATAGAAATAAACCTAAGATTTTCACATCCCCGAGCAAAGGTTCCACCCCAGCTCGAAGAACAATATTATGTGCTATATTGCCACCTGCACTATCGCCGCCGATATACAGATGACCAAAATCGCCGTGTTTAATAATCCATGGATTCTTTTCGATACTAGCATTTGAAATAACGTGAGACGCCACCCATTGAAGGGCAGTCCATGAATCTTCGTAGGCTATGGGTAGAAGGTGTTCGGGGGCGAGCCTGTATTCGACAGAAATGATTAGAGCTTTTGCTTCGGCTGCTAAGAAGTTCATGTAACGGTGGTAGCTCAAACAGTAGGGAGAATCGGTGAAAAATCCACCGCCATGGTAGTAGACTAAAACGGGGAGTTTTTGGTTGGAGTCTGTCAGCTTTGGGAGGAATAGTCTGGCTTTAACCTCCGGTGAAATAACTATTATGTCTTTGGAGGCTACGCCAGTGGTTGGGTCCTCCGGTGACGGCGGAACGCTAGGTGTGACCACGAATCTCTCGATGGTTCCATCTGTGTAGACTTTGAGATAAGGAGAGAGGTCGTGGAGTACTTCTTTGGTGGTGTTGGAAGCCATGGCAGTCTTCTTGATTTTATGGTTACAAGTTGTAGATAAGAGAATAGCATATGGTTTTGGACTGAGCTATTATTCTCCCAGTTATATAGGGATTCCATTGCGTTGGTTAGATGATAATAGGATTGATTTTTGTTGGAAGATGTAAAAACTTGAAAACGACATACGAATTATTATTATTATTTTATTTTATTTTTGAAAAACTTGACTG